CTGGCATCTAACGAGTACTCTCCATTAGTAGAATATTTGTGTGAAGGCTTATATAATAAGGAAGCACGGTGGAGTAATGGAAAGCCGATCAGTTTGAGGAAGCGGGGAGCCGAGTTTGAATTCCAGTCGAATCCATTGAATTTATTTAAGTCGAAAATACATGATCGCTAAAGCGTGTAACACGCATGGCACATAATTGACTGATCATATAATAATTATTTTGCAACAAAAGTTAATTAGTAATTTTTTCTTATATTATTATTATTATTATTATTATTAATAATAATAATAATAATAATAATAATAACAATAATAATAATAATAACAATAACAAAAAGTTGTCAAAGTACAAGGACCTTGAAATAGAAATCTCGAAAATGTGGCATATAGAACATCAACAATCCCTGTTGTAGTTGGAGCCCTAGGACTGGTTGGAAAAAAAAGATTGCAGTAGACTAATTGAAGGGATTCCTGGAAGTCCATGACTCAAGGAGATACAAAAAATTGTTCTGACAAGTACAGTCCACACCTTACGAAGGGCTTTATCTATGTAATTTAATTTTTTTTTCTTGTCAGTGGAAAGTCATGACGCCCTTTGTAACCTTAGGTCCCTGGGCGAGACCCGGAAAGAAATGTGTAAACGCCAGAAATCAAAGAAAATAAAAATAACAATAATACTAATATTAATAATAATAATAAACACTATTCACCGCACCGTGAAAATACTGGACTGGATGAAATCATTCATCAGTGTTTATCGCATTAGGCTTTTTCTCCTGTCTATTTCTCTGTTTCTCTCTCTCTCTCTCTCTCTCTCTTCTCTCTCTCTCTCTCTCTCTCTCTCTCTCTCTCTCCATTACTTTGAACAAGCTTAACAGAATAATCGTAATGAAATCGATCATAAACGAAAATGACATGCTTAGCATTGTTATTTTGGATCATTTCTCATTGATCATTTTAGCTCTATATTAAAATGATGATCCCTCTTCCTGTTGTGACATACTGATCCAGCTTCCCCCTCTACTGTTCCCACTTTTTAAACTTATTCATCATGGTTCTTGATGGACTTTGATAATAGGAGGGCACAGTATGAATGTAGGTTTTATTGCTGAATGCCTCAATGACTTTTTCCTCTCACCATTGCTCAGTATACATGAAAGTTGGACTGGCACAAAGTGTGTTTAACCTGTTCTTTTTCTAGGTGAATTACTCAAACGTTTTTGTAACAAAATTAAAATTCCCCATATACCAAAGTTTTTAAACGAAATTCAAAGAAATTTAACCAGTCATTTGTTATTTTTTCTGCAGAAATAACATAGGAAATTGTGTAACAGAAATATAAAATACAAAAAAAAAGTTTTGTAATTTTATTTATCCAGACCTGGCATCTGGCCTTCAGTTATTTTCCATCACTGTCTTGTCGATAAGTATTTTCATGCTAATTGTTCTGATATGCTTTCATCTTTGGTATCTAAAATTTATGAAACTGAGCGCATTCAAAGATTAGCGGCAAAGTTCTCATCATTTTTCTTTCGAAATGGAGAGATGTAACATAATTCGTATTCTAACAGGTTCTATTTTCGCTCTTCTTCCTTGTGGAATTATTTTCCTATTTCATGAAATCCCGTCAAATTTGATCTCCAGAAATATAAATTAATCTTCTGTCTTAATTCCTTTTCTTGTATGGTTCTTCCCCATAATAAAATTTTATTTTTCTCATATTATCTCTCTCTCGCTAACTTGTGTCTTAGTGGCTTTATTGTTTTTCTCGTGGTGAAATGACAACAAAAAAAAAAAAAGAAAAAAAAGAGAAAGGTGAAAAAGACTTTCTTCGTGTAAAAATAAACCTTAAACTATCCATACGTTTTTGTTGCTGTACAGTCTACAATGCCCAAAATAACGCTGGAATTGAAAACAGCACCCAGAGGCAAGCGAACAATGAGTGTGTCCACAAGATAGCAAATCGGAGATTCATTAACGCCGCCAAGAATACGATTGCAAAGGACCAATCAAAATCAATGCTGGTGAGCTAAGAGCAGATACATCAAGTACGAATGGCCACCTGGGCCTTAAACCATGTAAACCATATAACAGATTGACATGACAGCTATTTTCAAAGATGAAATACAGTTTTCAATTAAAGCAAGAATCCTGGGGCCAGAATTAAATCTTCTTCGGGGATGCTCTTTTGTAATCTGCCGTTACAACGGTGCGTCATCAGGTGATATCAATCACACATTCCAGATCAAATAACCAGCTGAGTTCATGGCCGGACCGTAAACGGAAAGATGACATTGATTCAAAAATTTTCCAAAAAAAAATTATATATATATAAATATATATATATATATATATATTAATATGTAGTTTCAGGCAATCTACCTAACGGGAATTGTTTGTAGATTACGGACGGCACACAGCCCCAAAATAGTCCTTAACGAATAAATTTTGCCGACCAAAATTCTATAAAATAAAAACCGCCCACCGATAACACAACAAGGTTTTTCATGCGCAACGCCATCTTCTAGTGCTGAGTATGGAGTGACCGTAACGAAAATTTAAATTTAAACTACGCAACGACAGGTCTTTCGTCAGCAGTTGAAGATTGGTTTGTGCATGAAACTCGGAATATTATGCGAAAATATTGAATCATAATACTTTATCCTTAAGTTAGCGTTTCGTGTCACGAAACAAAATTATTAAGACTATATATTAACGGCTTTTTTAAAAGTCAGACTTTTTCATTCTTTCTATACTTTTCTTTAAATAGGTCAATTTCTTGTCAGAGTTCATAAAAATTTTTGGCATTCTATATCCTATTTTAAACAAAACACAAATGCGATACGTATATATATATATATGTATAAAATTAGAAAATATATATATTGATACAAATCTAATATTTTTCATGTAGCTGATGTTATATTCAGCATCCCAACTCCAGAGCTTCGCATGGGAAATTTTTGTAATCATTCGGTTTTCCCGTCAAGAGGTATCATCAAATGTCTGTCGATTTTCTCATTTTGTTTATTTTAACTGTATATTTGTGTACTATTGTATTCGTGTCTACACACATGTAGAATGTCGTGGTAATTTATTCTATTCATAATTTTCTTATCTCCTTATAACCTCTCACGTATCATTTCGCGTCTTTTCTCTCTGTTTCGGCTCTGCATATCAAAGATATTGCAATAATGTTATTTCCGGTGTGATAGGCAGGATTTATTTGTCGTGTATATTTTCTCAAATATTCTGGGTTTTCTTAAGATTTGTAAATGTATGTTTATTCCGTATTTTATTTATTTCTTGTTTAAATATTTATTTACTAATAACTGTGTGTGTATATATATATATATATATATATATATAGAGAGAGAGAGAGAAAGAGAGAGACAGAGATAGATAGATACACAGATAGATATAGATAGATAGATACATATGATACATAGATAGATATAGATATATCTGTCTCTACTCTCTCTCTCTCTCTCTCTCTCTCTCTCTCTATATATATATATATATATATATATATATATATATATTCTAGAAAAAAAAATTCGGATTGCCAACAGACAAACAGAGAATGTCTCATATCGAGAATATCTCACATTGAACATGAAGAAAAATTAATTATTTTAATAATATCATTTTTAATAATATGTAGAAATCTCCACTTTTACCTGAAGACGGTCATGAGACCAGAAACACGTGTCGTAGTAAAATTATGTAAAACAAAGCATAATATTTTTTTCTAAATAAATCCACATTACAACCAAAAACGTTTGCAGCACCTCTCTTCTCTTCTTTTTAATATACATACTTTTCTCTCATTGGAACCACTACAACATATTTCTTTTATATATATATATATATATATATATATATATATATATATATATATATAAAATGAGACATGATTCATTGAATAATTTATACAAATTTTGGCCACTTATTTTCGACTGGATCCTTTTATATTCATGGACAAGATTTCTGGTGTCATTATTAAAAAAAGAGAGAAAATTACCTTCTTGATACATATTACTTATTCCGAGCAATTTGGATATTAGCACAATGTTATCACGAAGGATTTTTTTAAAGAGAAATATTGCAGTGTTCATGATGAATAGATATATTAAAAAATATTACCAGCAATAAAAATATTGTCGGCATTAAATAACACATTGAAGATGATATGTCGTAAAACAAACCAAACGAAACCATCGCCGCCTTTATTTTGCCACCACGCAAAAGCGAAAATCTTCTCGTCGTTTCAGATAAGAAAACAAATCAATACATAAAATCGAAAACTGCAGCGGTGTTTTCCATTTTGTCACAATTCACTAGTCTCGGACAGCAAAGACGTACGGCCTCCGAGCTAGAATATGCGTCAGGGAATTTTAGATACAAGATAGAAAGTGCGGTATTTTGGGGGGTGACGTGTTAATTCGTTTTTTTTTATTTGTATTTTTTTTTATTTTTTGTTTATCTTCTGGTTGGTCAGTGTGCATTGATAAGCTGTTCGGTTACAGCGAATCAATACATTGTGTAGGTGGACAAAGAGCAGAGCGACAAAGAAAAGGGTAGACATTTAATAGAAACATATTTACAGAATCAGCAGTGAATGAATTAATGATATTCCCTGAAAGAAAGAAAGTTCCAATAAAGGGAAAGTGAAGAAATAAAGTCCAGAGATAATCACATTGGCGTTTCAGGTTTGCGGAGCTAGAAGATTGATTGAGTACGATGTCGGGGTTACATTCCGGTTGGATAAAGAATAGTGGGTGCCGTTAGAAAGAACAAGGAGGAAAGACAATAACTTCAAAAGCCAACGAAAATGAGGCGAATATGACCTCAAAAAAGAAAAGAAAAAGAAAGTACGGTAAATGAATGAAATAAAATGAATGAAAATAAAGACATGAAAAGAATAAAAGAAAAAAAATGTTAAAAAGAAATAAAAAATAAGAGATAAAAATGCAATTAAACAGAAAGCAAATGATACATTAAAAATAAAAATAACCACATAAACGAATGAGGCAAGGGAACTTACGGATAGATAGATAGATAGATAGATAGATAGATAGATAGATAGATAGATAGATATGAAGAAGAGTTGGATTCAAAGATAAATATATCTGAAAAGAAATAAATAAATAGATAGATAGATAGATAGATATGAAAAAGAGATTCATAGGCAAATATATCTGAACAGACATAGATAGATAGATAGATAGATCGATATGAAGAAGAGTTGGATTCAAAGATAAATATATCTGAAAAGAAATAAATAGATAGATAGATAGATAGATAGATATGAAAAAGAGATTCATAGGCAAATATATCTGAACAGACATAGATAGATAGATAGATAGATAGATAGAGAGATAGAGAGATAGAGAGATAGAGAGATATGAAGAAGAGTTGGATTCAAAGATAAATATATCTGAAAAGAAATAGATAGATAGATAGATAGATAGATAGATAGATATGAAAAAGAGATTCATAGGCAAATATATCTGAACAGACATAGATAGATAGATAGATAGATAGATATGAAGAAGAGTTGGATTCAAAGATAAATATATCTGAAAAGAAATAAATAGATAGATAGATATGAAAAAGAGATTCATAGGCAAATATATCTGAACAGACATAGATAGATAGATAGATAGATAGATATGAAAAAGAGATTCATAGGCAAATATATCTGAACAGACATAGATAGATAGATAGATAGATAGATAGATAGATATGAAAAAGAGATTCATAGGTAAATATATCTTAACAGACATAGATAGATAGATAGATAGATATGAAAAAGAGTTAGGTTCATAGAAAATTATATCTGAAGATAGATAGATATGAAAAAGAGTTAGATTCATAGACAAATATATCTGAAAAGAAATAGATAGATAGATATGAAAAAGAGTTAGATTCATAGATAAATATATCTCAAAAGAAATATATATATATATATATATATATATATATATATATAGATAGATAGCTATGAAAAAGAGTTATATTCATAGGCAAATATATCTGAAAAGAGATAGATAGATAGATAGATAGATATTGAGAGCGAGAGAGAGAGAGAGAGAGAGAAAGCAATAGTATCAAGAAAATTAAATCAATACGGATTGCCTGATGAAGAGAAATACAAAGAGAGAGGGGGAGAGAGAAACGGAATGAAGCGATTCACAGAACTTACACTGAGCAGAGATATATATAGATATATATAGATACATCGATAGATAAACAGACCTAGAGATATAGACAATTAGACAGATCGGCAGCGAGTAATAAGTTCAGCTAGCTAAATAGAGAGATAAAGAAAAGAATGAAACAGATGAAGAAAAAATAAAACACAGATAGATAGATAGATAGATAGATAGATAGATAGATAAAAAATGAGGCTGATAAATAAAGACAAGAATAACTCAAAAAGATAGAAAGGTAAAGAGATACAGAAAAGTATAAAACAGATAAAGAGCTAGAAATAATTCCAGCTAGCTAGATAGAGAGATAAAGAAAATAATGAAACATATAAAGTAAAATAACACAGATAGATAGATAGATAGATAGATAGATAAAAAATGCAGCAGATAGATAAAGAAAAGAATAAGTTAAAAAGATAGAAAATAGATAAATAGATACAGAAAAGTATAAAACAGATGGATAAATAGCTAGAAATAATTTCAGCTAGCTAGATAGAGAGATAAAGAAAGTAATGAAACAGATAAATAAAACATAACACAGATAGATAGATAGATAGATAGATAGATAGTTAAAAAAAAGAGAATGGAACAGATAAAGAAAAGAATAACCAAAAAAGATAATAAGGTAAAAAGATAAATAAAAGAAAAAACAGATAAAGATAGATAGATAGATTCCAGATAGATAGATAGATAGATAAGAAAAAGAATTAGATTCATAAATAAAATAACATAGATAGATGGATAGATAGATAGATAGATAAAAAAATGATAGATAGATAAAGAAAAGAATAAGTTAAAAAGATTCAAAATAGACAAATATATCTGAAAAGATAAAACAGATGGATAAATAGATAGAAATAATTTCAGTAGTTAGATTCATAGACAAATATATCTGAAACAGATAAATAAAACATAACATAGATAGATAGATAGATAAAAGATTAGATTCATAGTTAAAAATATAATGAAACAGATAAAGATAAATAGATATGATAGAAAGATAAATAATAGATAAAAGATAAATAATAGACAAATATATAAAACAGATAGATAGATAGATAGATAGATAGATAGATAGATAGATAGATATGAAAAGAGTTAGATTCATAGACAAATATATCTGAAATAGATAGATAGATAGATAGATAGATATGAAAAGATAGATAGATAGATAGATAAAAATATCTGAAAAGAATAGATAAAGATAGATAATATGCCAAGTGATAAATAATAAATATATCTGAAAAAGAATAAATAGATAGATAGATAGATAGATAGATATAAAAAGAGTTAGGTTCATCTATTGAATATATCTTTAAAGATACCAGATAGATAGATAGATAGATAGATAGATAGATAGATATAAAAAGAGTTAGGTTCATTTTAAATTTATCTGAAAAGAGATAGATAAACGGGATAGATAAATGACAAAGATATCCATGATCCAACTGATAGAACAGAAATAAATATAAAAAGAGTTAGGTTGCATAGACAAATATATCTGAAAAAGAGATAGATAAAATAGATAGAAGATAAATAGATAGAAAAAAAAAAAGACAAATGATAAAGAAAAGATATCATAAAGATAAAAATAGATAAATAAATGAAAAGAATAAAATAGATAGATAATTCGATAGAAACGGAAGCGAAAATTTCTTTAGAGAACGATAAAATTAAGAAACATTGCAATAAGCCTGAAAATTTTATATTTAGACGAAAATAAATAGAAATTGGGCTAACAAAGAAATGACAAAGAACATCCCATGATCCAACTGAGGAACAGAAATAAATGACTCGTTCTGAAGGTTGCCATGTCGGTTCCAGCCATGAAAATTTCATGCTAAAAAGTAGAAATAAAATTTATCAAAATGAAAAAAAGGCAAACGAGAACGGATATCATATATAACAAAGGTTCCGGTATAATCAAAGGCCGAAAACAGTAATTCGAGCCCTGGGAAGACGAGGAGAAAATTGGGAAGTGGCTTCCAATGGCCTTAAAAGTCCCATCAAGAAAACTCCTATTCCTGCACGGCCATAAAAGTTAAGCAAAGATGGGCCAGTTCATTACCTATATAGATTACCGCATGTCGTTCCAGATGTTGTAATATTGAATTCCAGCAGATCGAAATTTCATGCCACATCAAAGTAAAACTTATTCAAAATGAAAGGCATAAAAGAGATCAACGTCGAAACACAGGTTCCGGTATAATACCTATATAGATGACAGTTTGGGAATACGAGGTGTTCTAAGATTGAATGTGCGGCTGGTCGAATGGGCTTACGGCCCCATCACATTGAAAACTCCTATTCCCCTACGGCCATAAAAAGTTAAGCAACGTCGAGCCTGGTCATTACCTATAGAGATGACCGCTTGGGAATAGCAGATGTTGTAATATTGAATGTGCAGCAGATCGAATGGGCTTAAGACCACATCACATTAAAAACTCCTATTCCCCTACGGGCATAAAAGTTAAGCAACGTCGAGCCTGGTCAGTACCTATATAGATGACAGTTTGGGAATAGCAGGTGTTGTAAGATTGAATGTGCGGCTGGTCGAATGGGCTTACGGCCCCATCACATTGAAACTCCCGTTCCCCTACGGCCATAAAAGTTAAGCAACGTCGAGCCTGGTCAGTACCTATAGAGATGACCGCTTGGGAATAGCAGGTGTTGTAAGATTGAATGTGCGGCTGGTCGAATGGGCTTACGGCCCCATCACATTGAAACTCCTATTCCCCTACGGGCATAAAAGTTAAGCAACGTCGAACCTGGTCAGTACCTATAGAGATGACCGCTTGGGAATAGCAGGTGTTGAATGTGCGGCTGGTCTAATTTGCTTACGGCCCTATCACATTGAAACTCTTGTTCGCGTTCGAGCAAAAAAGTTAACCTAATTCGAGAATGGCTCTCACGCTGGCCAATAGAATCGTCCTGCCATTTCTTGGCAGCCAGCTATTGGCTCTCACTCTGGCCTGTACAAAATAACCGCAAACTACATGAAAACTGTCGTAGAAGCATGAAAAAATCGTTTATTTCCACTATCGATGGAAGTTGGGAAATTCAAAAATCGGTCTTGGACTTCCCGCTAACTTGGAGCATGTGCATGTAAATTTTGGTGCAAATCCGTCGAAAATTGCGGCCGTGCATTAGTTACACACACCCCCACACACACTCCCTGCCTTTTATAGATGGCGATAAGGATTCATTAATCTTCCGAGATAATGGTAGTGCTATTTTTGGTCAATCATTGTCCCTTTACGGGTAGCGTATGAATCGGCTAAACAGGACCAATCCTGCATGACACACTCATCCGAAGGTGTGACAGATGAAACTAGAATTTGCAATGGCTGTCTGAAATTGCTCTCACTTCTTTCTTTGTTTTCTTCTTAGCTCAACAGTTGGTTTCGCCTTTTGCCAACCTTCGTGACTCCTCCATGGATCGCATGGTACCAGCCTCTACGGTAGTCTGCTAGCTGTTCGTCGCCACCAGAATCAATGACTGTGCGCTTTAAGATTTGCAAACGTTCTTGAAACGTAATGTGTGTGTGTGTGGAGGGGGGCTACCAGACGGTATTCCTTGCCCAGCTCACCATACATGATGTCTTTTGGTATATGGCTGTTATTCATACGATGAACGTGATCTAGCGATCAAAGGCGCATGCATGCTCCAGAATTCTTCTCGTTCCAGCACAAAAGTGTTAGTGAAATTGTCTCTACATGTGATACCGTGGATACATAATAGGCAGCAGAGACGGAACCTTTTTCTCCTTGATGTCTGTTATTTATTCAACATATTGTTTATTTAAACAATTTTATATTTACATTGCAAAAAAGGATACAGTTGTATTTACAACTAATGCAATATATACCATTTACCAATGCATAGAGAATGGAATATAGGAACCTTTTTTTATTAAAAAATACATAAATATTTACTAAATTATTCAAATATATTGCAAACTATGAGGAAATCCTTATTATTTACCATATTATAAAGTTCGAATCCATTGGCAATTAGCGGGTTCTTTGCCAACCATACCAATAATATACAATATAAATAAACAATATAATAAATACATAAGTAATGTAAATGAGCAATAAATCAAATAATGTATATTATTTTGTTGTAATTTCTGAAGAATGAAAAACATATAAATTCATTTCCACCACGTTTAGGTTTTGTTAAAATTCTAATCGTCGTTTTATACAAGCATAAATATTGCCGACGCGTGAATTCATTTTCTTTTTTATTCGTTTCACTCCAAGCTAGGCAGGATAATGCCACGAGATCGCCTGGAGTTACAGAGAGTTAAAGAGAATGTGAAAAATTTATTGAGGAGTATTGAGGAAAGGTAAAAAGGAAGAGGGTTCAAGAAGACAGAATATGGCTTTTGACGTTGAATTTAAATTTTCTTTTAGTTATCAGGAAACAAGTAAACGGAAGGGAGTTCCACAGAAGTGAAACGCGCGAAATGAAACTTTTAGATTCAAAGGAGCGGTTATATCAGTAAAACGGTGAGACCTAATTGCCAATCAAGTAGCAAGCATACAAGCTGGAGCACCAGGGGAAAAAACGCTCCTCAGAACAGTTGGCATGAAAACAATTGTAGAAAAGACAGTGGGAAGTCATACCAGGTCTGTGAGAAATTCCTGAAATCGAGATGCCTAGTCAGGATCGATTACAGTAACGAATCTTTGAATTCTGTCAAAAATCTCTAGATGTACAGCAGCTGCGCCAGACCAGATATGGCAACAGCATTCAATGCACGGCTGAATGATAGTTTTAGAAAATTGCAGAAGAGTTTCTGCAGAGAAAACCTTTCGGTTACGACACAGTGAAACAAATATCCTTGCAGTAAACGTATCAATTCATGTCCGTGGGAAATGCCAGGCGAAGATTGGGTTGAGTGTTGCTCTCTTGGGGTTTTAGGCATCCCGATGTCAAGCAGGAAAAGTTTCCGGTGGTGATTAAATGAAAGCAGTTTAGTTTTGTAGGCGTTAAAATTTCCAACCTATTTCTTGACCCTTTAACCACAGATCGAAGGACGTTTTCAAGAACAGTTGCTATGTTTACTTTGTCGAATATTTGCGATTTGCTAATACGACCGGAGTAAATTTCTTCTTCTTCTTCTTCTTCTTCTTCTTCTTCTTCTTCTTCTTCTTCTTCTTCTTCTCTCTCTTCTCCTTTCTTCTTCTTCTTCTTCTCTCTCTTCTCCTTTCTTCTTTTTCTACTTGTCTCTTTTCTCCTTCTTCTTGTGTCTCTTCTTCATTATCTTCATCTTCAACTCGTCTCTCTTATTATTCCTCTACTCGTCTTTCTTCTTCTTTCTTCTTCTTCTTCTACTTGTCTCTCTTCTTCTACTACTTGTCTTTCTTCTTCTTCTTCTTCATCTTCAACTTGTCTCTCTTCTTCTATTTCTACTTGTCTTTATTCTTCTTCTTCATCTTCAACTTGTCTTTCTTCTTCTTCTTCTACTTGTCTTTCTTCTTCATTGTCTCTCTTCTCTTCTTCTACTTGTCTTTCTTCTTCATAATCTTCTACCGGTCCCTCTTATTCTTCTAATTGTCTCTCTTCTTCTTTCTTTTTCTTGTCTCTCTTCTTCTTCTTCATCTTCAACTTGTCTCTCTTATTCTTCTTCTACTTGTCTTTCTTCTTCTTCTACACGTCTTTCTTCTTCTACTTGTCTCTCTTCTTCTTTCACTTGTCTTTCTTCTTCTTCTCCTTCTTTGTCTCTCTTTGTTCTTTCCTTGTCTTTCTTCTTCTTCTTCTTGTCTCTTTCTTCTTTCACTTTGTCTTTCTTTTTATTCTCCTTCTTTTTGTCTCTCTTCTTCTTTCTTCTTCTTTCTTTTTTCTACTTTTCTCTCTTCTTCTTTCCTTGTCTTTCTTCTTCTTCTTCTACTTGTCTCTCTTCTTCATTCACTTGTCTTTCTTCTTCTTCTTCTACTTGTCTCTCTTCTTCTTTCACTTGTCTTTCTTCTTCTTCTTCTACTTGTCTCTCTTCTTTTTCACTTGTCTTTTCTTCTTCTTCTTCTACTTCTCTTTTCTTCTTTCCTTGTCTTTCTTCTTCTTCTTCTTCTTCTCTCTCTTCTTTTTCACTTTTCTTTCTTCTTCTTCTTTTTCTTCTCTCTTCTTCTTCAACTTGTTTTTCTTCTTCTTCTACTCTTTTCTTCTTCTTCTTCAACTTGTCTTTCTTCTTCTTTCACTTATTTTTCTTCTTCTTCTTCTTCTTCTTCTCTTCTTCTTTCCTTGTCTTTCTTCTTCTTCTTCTTGTTATCTTTCTTCTTTTTTCTTGTCTTCTTCTTCTTCTTTTTCTTGTCTCTCTTCTTCTTCTTCTCCTTTTCTTGTCTCTCTTCTTCTTTTTTATGTCTTTTCTTCTCCTTC